CAAAATAGATACAGATATTAACTTTTTTTTAATATATTTCTCTTGCCAGCTGCAATTTAGTTGCTCAAACCTGAAAATTTGAAAAAGCAATGTAAAGTGTGAATTACTTAACTAAGACATTGTTAGTAATATATATAATAAATTACAGGAAAGCTTTGTCAAACTTTGTGACAAGCCGTTGGTAAAACGTATCGTATCGTGGCATCAATATCTAGATACGTATCGTATCGACTACTATGATGAGATACGCACCCCCAGTAAATACCAGTGGCAATATTTTACCCCCCCCCCCAAAAAAAAGATAACAGTAAAACAGGTTCTTATTTTAGGCGTCTCAATTTACCTATAGGTGAATTCCAAATTTCGAGTCATCGATCTTTCATGAACTATAGCTGCAAACACGTTGGTAACAAAAGGCCTCACTGTAAAACTGAATTAACCTCCAAATCAAGATAAATCATCGCAATTTTTTATCGAAGTTATTGCACATCATTTAACGAAACTCACTTTTAACTGTTTGTTTTCTTGCAAAACACTGCAACATTAATATTATATCAGCCCTTGATGACCATGCCATGTAGACTTTTATTACAATTATTTACTTGATTGTTTTTAAAACCTAGATTTTGATTAGCTGGCCTTAAAAATCCTTGTTGAACTCGGCATGAAGGTTCAGTTCCTCTCGGCAGTTTCCGTCGTAGCATAGAGTAACCGTACAAGTAATAATAATAATAATAACTAAAAAGCCGAGAGGCACTCCGCTCTGTGCTTCACACCATCAGATATCACCTGAATAAATGGCGTATAGCGGGACAAGAAGCTTCTTGAGCGTTTTGCTTCGAAAGAATGCAGTTTTTTAATAATGTTTCTATCCAAACTTTTTTGAGGAGACATGGCCTCCTCCTCTGACGAGTCGCCACTGGTAGAAACTACACTGAAGTACGCATCAAATAGTAGGATTATACAATATATTGTACTGAAGAAATACTTCAATTATTTGCCAGACTCATAATACACTGATTTATCTAAAGGAGAAAACCTATAAACGAGAGTTTTTCTTCACCTAAAATCCTTCGAATCTTAACACGCCTGCTTCAAGCTTGTTAGAATATAACATTATGTTTGTAAGGCCTAAAAGATTCAAGTAAAGACCAACGCACTCTCACAAGTAAATAAACTCAAATCACATGTCCGTTTTGTGACGCTTGTGAAACGAAAGTGTTTGTTTTAGAGCAAAGCTTAGTTGGGCTAACTGCTGCGTCCACCGCGGGCAATCGAACTCCATATTTTAATGTTACAAGTCCATAGACTTACCGTTGTCCCACCGGGGGACCAGAAGTGAAGAAATGATACTCCCATTAAGTCACGCTATATAAACGTCACGAGTACACCTCGTGAATTAAATATCAATCTATATCGATAGCATCCTGTTTCTTCTCAATATTTCTAATGCCAATATTGGAACCGTCTGCGAGTGTCACAGGATTTATTCTGCTTAGGGCCTATAGTAATGAGTAGCTCTTCACACGTTTTGTACTTATATTCTAATAAGTCGATACGCAACTCTTAAAATTACCTCACATGCAGTTCTGAAATAGCACTTTCTGTGTATCATTTGTAGTTATACTAGTGTATCAAACACGTCTAAATATCAATTTAAAAGGGGCCAATTATGCAATTCTGAAACGTCCTTAATATAAACCCTGGATAGTGCCGTGATAGCTTATGTTTTGTTCATTTGTAGTTAAGCACAACGCTACACTTTGGGATATTTGTGCTGCCCACCACGGGTATCGAAACCAGATTTTTTATCATCATAAGTCCAGAGACATACCACTGAGGAGCAGCTTACCTTTTAATAGGTATATATCATATAATTGTTCCCGATAATCTCGCAAAGCTAAACAAATGCTGTCTGTGCTATAGCCTCCCCAAGTTTGAATTGATAGACTTGGAGAAAGGCAGTTATCCAACAGCACCCACTACAAACCCTAATCGAATAGTGGGATTTGACCGTCACTCTAATAACGCTCTCTCAGTCCCAAAGTGTGGAGCACGAATTTGCAGCAACGGGGCACAAACGTTGGACCCTCGAATCCATTGTCCATCACGTCAGGCCAGTAAATCATATCACCCTATTGTGTCTTACAGCTCCTTGAATGAAACTATTACTAATTCATATAACATAGAAAAAAAACCCGCTACAGAGCATTGCCATTTTCATTGCAACTGTGTATCTCGCATCCCGAGATCTGCTGTGAGAAAGTCAGCCTTATACAATACATTTCTATTAATATATATATGTCTACACGTGTAAACACCCCAGACTTTATTCGAGATTTTACTTGCGAGATGTATAACAGAATAATTAGTGACATAAAAATCAGGTTTATAAATTCAAAATAGGACTTAACGTAGAGCTTGTCAATGTATTAAAACCGCCTTATATACACAGATATTTTTCAAAAGTTTATAACTAACATACTGTGGCCGAATCTCGGGCTAGTTTTTTTTTATGCAAGTTTCTGTTAAAAAATAAACAAACTTTTGCGTAGTTTCTTAAAGTGAAATGTTCTTAATCTGAAGAGTGGAACATTAACACAAACTACACTTGTTAGTTTTTAACTGCACCAATAATAACTTGGCATTCTTACATATAAAATATACCTGTTACACAGGTTATAAAACTCTGGGAATAATAAAAAATTGTGTATAAAATTATGGATATAATGCAAAATAATGTATCTATATCTACTTTGAAGTTTCACATTATCTAAGTTTCTGGTAAGAAAAAAAGGCCGCGACCTAATTATAAAACTATCTGTATTTATTCAACTGAATCTTCCCGTTTCCTTATTTTATTGGCGAAATCATGTCACGAAACAGTCTATTTCAGTTAGTAAAACGACTTTATAAATGTTTAGCTCTCACATGCACCACAGAGAAGTGTTGAATTGTTTAAACTTATCGTACGAGTTATCTGAAACACGTAACGCACGTTACATCGGGAAGTTCTTAAGTTTA